GATACAAGAGGAAATCTAGAGAAGGCCAGATACTCTGCCCTCCTACTAATTGCAGCACTGCCTCTTTTTCAACCTTCTTCTGTGCATTCATAAGTAACCACACATGGCCTCTTCCCTTGAGGGCTTCACAGTGTGTTGGGGGAGACACACATAGAAAAAAACTTCTCTGAGGGAAACTCAGTGTCAACTACACTGAGAAACTACAGTATTTGTGGGGACACATCCAGAGCCAGGGCCTCAGGTTCTCTCCTTCCCTAACCTGCAATCAAGCAAGTGGAGGGGCCAACCTACCCCTTGTTATTTTAGAGAATGTTCTAGCTTCAAACTCAGACCATGGAGTGTCTGATGTGAAATGCTGCCCCTTATAGGCTTGGCAATAATGATCCCGTAGGGCATGTGCAGCAGAGAACCATGTTGAATATGCTATCACACACGGCATCTTGTTTGATCCACACACTACCACAGTGAGGTGGGGACTTTGGGATTCAGAGGGTCCCTTCAAACACGAGGAAACAGAACCTCACAGAGAGTACTCACAGTGGGATAAGCCCTGCCTCCTAGCCCTAACTTCTTTGTAGCCTAATATGCAACTATTCAGGCATTTAGGGAGGGAGAGAAAGGAAAGAACTGAGTGGCAGGAAGCAAGAGAAAGTTTCCCCCAGAGAGAGAGAGAGAGAGAGAGAGAGAGAGAGAGAATGAGAATTAGTTAACATGCAGCAGGGGAGCAGGTCTCCTAATGGTGATATTTCTATAGGCTCCCTCCTCATCAGCAAGCTTTCACTACAATTGGGTCTTTTCTCTTCCAGAAATCTTCACTAAATTACTTCCATTGGCCCTATCCTCGTCCTTGTCCTGTGACTAAGACTGAGATTTTCAGAAGGAAGCAGAAACATGGCAGCCACCGAAGTCCCCAGATTGTTTATATTGAGGGCCATGTGAAGGTCAGTCCCGTAACAGTGACACAAATGTCCAGAAAAAAATTATTATTAAATGATTTCAGTTTCCATGAACATTGTCCAGGAAGAGTCAAATCATCCTCCAGAGCATTTTACCATTTTTGGTGGCTTTACCTTCAGTCCTATCAACCTTCAAGCTATAGGAAATCTTTCTTCAAGAAGGACTCTCTCACCCACTGCAGTCATCACCACCATCACTAGTACCACCTTCATCACTTAACTCCTTCCTTCTCAATAATGATATTGGTAAAGGAAGAAATAAATTGAAAACCAGTCCTGAACAAAATCAACACTGCTTCCCAATTCCTAAGGCAGGGCTCTCCTGTCACAAACAAAACTGCCTAACTCCCTGTGCCAGATCTACCCCTGTGGCCTTACAACAGATGATCCTAATAGTCAGCCCTGGGACAAGAAACAGCTTCCACACATTGTACGGTTTTGCCTGGCACACACAGACTTATATTTTACAACTGAACCCCACTGCCAATATCAAGAGCCTGCAGTTTCCACATAAAATTTTGGATTCCTGGCATCTTTAAAAAAAAATTAATCTGTCAAACCTGGATCCACATTCCACATGGCAAAAACTGGCAAAAGATGAGCACTGGCTGCCCCTTTTAAATGGTTCATGGACTCTGTGTTGCAGACCAGTCCATTCCTGGCTCACCCAACTCATCTTTGACAGGTGTAGACATCTAAATTTGTGACACCTGCCAGAAGAGGCTGCCTTCATGCTGGCAAGGACAACTAAATCTCTAAATTTTGGCTGATGCACCTCTGACATTAGGAGTATTTTTAGCATGCAATCCCCATATAAGCATTTTTTAATACCAAACAAATACAAAGGTTATTTGCAATGTTAATTATACTGTTACTAATTAAAAAAATGGTTGTTGTATTATTTTTAATATTTGCAAAATGATGGAATATGTTTAGTTGATTCTGAAAATTTTTTAAAGAAGATTTCATTTATTTATTTATTCTTTAGAGAGAGAGAAAGAGTGTGAGTGGAGGGAGAGGCAGAAGGAGGAGAGAATCTCAAGTAGACTCTGTGCTGAGTGCACAGCTAGATGCAGGGCTTGATCTCCCAACCCTGAGATTCTGACCTGAGCTGAAACCAAGAGTCAGACACTTCACCAGCTGATCCACTCCAAGTGCCCCTTTCTCTGAATCTTGTGTCACTTTATGTACTAATTAAATGATGTTGCCAGGTCAATTGCTTGGAATTAAATAATTCACAATTAAAAATTAGTAAAGTTTTATTTTACATAATAAAAATGAATAGAAATAGAAATTCTAGTATTTCAGTCCCAATGGGTTCATGTGACCAGTCCTGAGGCACATGTCTGGTGCTGCAGGGCAGAGGGGAAATGCCCATCACATTTCTTTCATACAGAATTATAAATTAATTCAAATTAATAAATGTGAATAGTTTGCATAGTAAGGCCTCTCTTCTCCTTACTCAATATTATTTCACAGGCATTAATTTTTCCTTTGGTGTTGACTACAATTCATTGAGTAAAATGGTTTGGGAGGAAAGAGAATCACAAGTCAGAACCTAATTGAACAGCAGGGATTGACTGTTTGGCATTGGCAAGAGCCTCCGCTGTGGCAGCATCAGTGAGTTACCTGGGGTCCTGGACCTCAGCTGCCTGTGGAATTAATGCTCGAGAATAAATTTAGTATCCTATCACCTTGAATGCTTACTTTGTTTGTCAAATAGAGGTCATTAACCCCACTTTATTACTCCAAAATGACCAAGTAGGTTTTTGATATATAACCCATCAATCATCTCTTGGACATCAGCCACATACCAGCAACCAGCCTGGGTGTTCAAGGCAATGGATCTGGGGAGGTGAATGCAAATGTGCTTTTTGGTTTATATCTGTTGCAGAGATTTTTTTTTTTTTTTCATGACAATAAGCTTATATTTTGAGATGGTTTGGGTTTGAATTCATAGAAATGTTCTTTCCTCGCTGTATGGTTTTGGATTCATCCTCATCTTCATCTTTAAAACAGACAAAGTAATTCTTACCTTATAGACTTTTTGTGACTATTAAATGAGACTTGTACTACTGTTTGTAGTCAGTGAATAAAAATGTTGGTTTCTTTTAACCCTTTCCTACCAGGGCACAAAGATGAATACAACTTATTCCTGCTTTGCAGAAGTTCACATTCTTTGAAGATTACCAGCACCTATATAATTAAAATATTAGACAGTATTATAAATGAAATGTAGTAAGTATGAAACCAAAGTTCCAAGGTCATCCTACCAGTAAAATCTTGGGATGACATACTTTCTGTTAACATGTTTTCAAATATAATGTGATTTCTGAGTGGTATTTGGTGCTCATTCTCTGACTAGCCTTTTTTTCCATTCCTTTCTTTTTGAAGATTTTATTTATTTATTGAGAAAGAGTGCACAAACTGGGGGAGAGGCAGAGCAAGAGGAACAGAATCTCAAGCAGACCCTGCACTGAACATAAGCCTGATGGGGGGGCGTCAATCTAGCAACCCTGAGATCATGACCTGAGCCGAAATCAACAGTTGGAGGCAAAACCAACTGAGCCATCCCTGACTAGCTTTATTTTCATCCCCCTTTATTTTCAAAGAGAGGTAGAATAAAATACTTATCTTTTCAGGAGAAGGGGCAGAAAAGAGAACGCAAGATCAGTAGTAAATAAAATTTGGCTCTGCTTTTGGAATGAGAATGGGTCCCACATACCCAATATTCTCTTCGCTCTATCTTCTGCGATCATCAGCGATCATGAATGAGCACCAACTCACTAGGACATTTCTGGAACAGCTGCCATATTCCAGTCAAGACAAGGAATTAGAAGCAGTCAATGTGACCTTGAGGCCTGGGGACAATCACCATCAGATGGCACCAAACAGCAGCCAGGTCTGCATGAATTTAAATCCTGGAGCTGACTCCCTGGGCAGGCTCGTATTTTAAGCCCACTTTCTCCAATGCATGGGTTTTCCTGTATTCAGATTTTAATAGAAGCTTTGAACTGTATTACAATTCCTTGTAAGACCCGGACCCTCCTTACCCTTTTTCTCATCCCGCTCCACTCTCCCCTTAGCCCACTGCACTGTGGACACCCTCGTCTTCTCCCGTCCACCATCTAACATGGAGATTTTGTACTCGTGGTCTCCTCTTCCTAGAACACTGTTAATAAACACAACCAGCTCCTGCTGTTATTTAGGTCTCAGCTGAAATGCCACCAACTCAAAGAATCCTTCCTTGACCACCATTTATAAAGCAGCTTTCTCTCTTCAGTCTCTCCCGATTCCATGACCATGCTTTCTTTTCTCCATAGCATTAGTCAGTCTCCGATGACCTGGTACATACAGTTGTGTATGGTCTCCCTACCCTAGAATATAAGCTCACGAAAGCAGGGACTCTTCTGCCTTGTTTATCACCGTGCCCCCACAGCCTTCTACATGATTGTCGGTAAGGATGGTGCAAGCTCAGTGGAAGGCTGCTTTGGGTCATTGCCTAGCTCCTGCTGGGGCATGCGGAGTAAGCCCAGTAGTAACTCCAGAGGGAAAATTTAAATAAGAAAGTTGTAGGAACTAGGATGTGTTGGAGGCTCTAAGCAAGAGACTATTCCAGATTATTCCAGTACACACATTTACTTGATTATACTGGGGATAACATTTTAAGATTTCATTTATCTGACAGATCACAAGCTGGGGGAGTGGCAGGCAGAGGGAGAGGGAAAAGCAGGCTGCTGCCTGAGCACAGAGTCCCATGTAGGCCTCAACCCCAGGACCCTAGGATCATGACCTAAGCCAAAGGCAGCCAGTTAACTGATGGAGCCACCCAGGCACAAGGGGATAACATCTTAGTAATGATAGTGATAACAGCAGCAACAACTAGCTCTTATTAAGTGCTTACTCTGCCAAATACTTCACAAGTATTAGCTTACTTAACCCTCTGAACAACCTGATGATATAAGTACTATTATTATCCCTATTTTACAGATGAGAAGTTATAGGACCTGCTCAAGACTACCCACCTAAGAAATGAAGATAATGGTGCTCGCTTTGGCAGCATATATACTAAAACTGGAACAATATAAAGAAGATTAGCATGGCCCCTGTGCAAGGATGACACGTAAATTTGTGAAGCGTTCCATATTTTTCGTGCTATGGTGAGTGCTGTGAAGTGTGTAAACCTGGCGGTTCACAGACCTGTACCCCTGGGGCTAATAATACATTATATATGAATAAAAAATAAAACTTTTTTTTTTTAAATGAAGGAAATGAGATATAAACCATGAGAGTATGTTTCCATTCTCTTAACTATTATTTCAATCAAATCGTGGAAATAACAAACACACACACACAAAAATTACTCTTAGAATAGCTAAGGAAGTCTTAGCTAGGAGAGATGGGTACAGCTGACAAGTCAAGATGCAGGGCAGGTCACCTACTAGAAAGGGAGATCACATGCAGGGTGGTTAAAAGAACAGTAAGTATTCAAGCAAGAGGGGTTGAGGTGAATAAAGAACTCTTGAGGGTTCAAAATATATACATTAAAAAAGTGCTCACACGCAGGTGTATCTCTTTGTGCTCCACGAATTCATACCATACTTTAAACCTGTTCTGCCAGACTGCACTATGGCATTTTGGCAGATTTGGGCAAGAACAAATGAACTGCAAGTTGTCTCCTGAAACTGTATTAAGGTTTAGCTCTCAACAACTGTTTGTACGTTAGCTGAACCAGAGAACTGTGAGAAGGGCCAGACTGACACCAAGAAAAAAGATTAGACTGAGCTTTTCTACATGCTTCTACATAATTCAAGGAAAAGGCAGAAATGGGAATTTTCCCAGGTGTGCTTGAGAGAATGGTTTGCAAATTCCATAGGGAATATCTAAACTGCATTTGAATTCTGTGCTTCACTCCAGCACGGTTATTTATGGTGTTTATTGAATACAGCCACTATTCTCTGCCTCTCTGCACATTTATAAATACAGTTTCTAAAAGGCGTCCATTATGGTTTATGATCTATAATTGGAAACAAGATGCTACCAGTCGTGCATTCACTGACATTACAGAATCATGTAAAGTCATCCTGGCCCACACCTAGAGGGCTGGAGAGGTCTTGTCACTCAATACAAATGCCGGAGATGTTAATTAGGCCTCCGTCCCTGGACTTTTCTTTTCTTTTTTTTTCTTTTTCTTTTTTTAAGATTTTATTTATTCATTTGACAGACAGAGATCACAAGTAGGCAGAGAGGCAGGCAGAGAGAGAGGAAGGGAAGCAGGCTCCCTGCTGAGCAGAGAGCCTGATGCGGGGCTCGATCCCAGGCCCCTGGGATCATGACCTGAGCCGAAGGCAAAGGCTTTAACCCACTGAGCCACCCATGTGCCCCTGCACACATATTTTTATAACTTCCTCTTATCACTTAACATCGTTTTGACATTTACTGAAGTTGAGAGGAGTAAGCCCAATTTATTCAATTTCTGTACTATTATGTCATCCTTTCTTTGATGGAAATTTTGTTCCCAGATTTTTACAATCCTAATCAATGAAGTTATGGACATTCCTGTTTTGGGTTCTTGTGTTCATGTCCAAGGGGTTCCTCAAATATATTCCTATAAGTGGAATTGTTGGGTCAGGGAGTACGTGCACAGTCACCTTTACCAAAGCGAAGCACTGACCAAAGTGCTCAAAATTTATATGAATATATGTTCCAGCAAAAGTGTGGAATTTTTCCAGTTGCTTCATGTCTTTGGCAACCCTTGGCATTGTCATAAGTCTTGTTACAACAATGGGTGCGTAATTGTATTTCAATGTGGTTTTATTTAGATTTCCCTGATTACTAGTGAAACTGATCGTCTTTCCATACATTTATGGATTTTTGTTTCTATAAGTTATGTTTGTAAGTTTTGTCCATTTTGTTTTCTTTTTATAGAGACTGGAACAAGTTATTTATATAATCTATATATTATCTTGTTGGTTTATATGTTTCACAAGTATCTTCTCTCCATTTATGTAGTTTATAATTTTATTTTTTTAACGATTTATTTATTCGAGAGAGTGCACAATGGGGAGTGGGAGAGACAATCCAAAGGAGACTCCCCACTGAGTGTGGAACCCAAAACAGGGCTCGATTTCACCCACCTGAGGATCATGACCTGAGCTGAAATCAAGAGTCAGACCCACAACCAACCAGCTGAGCCACCCAGGTACCCCTATTCTCACTTTTGTGAGAGGATGGTTTCTTTGATGAACACAAAGTAATTTATGCTAATGTAAAATGATTTTCAATCTTTTCCCTTTGTTGTGTTTTTAAAAGGGGTTGTTTCTATTGATTCACTATTAAATATGACACTTGCTATAGATTTTTAAATTCTGTATCTCAGTTGCTAAGCTTTTATCAACATAGTGAAAGAATTTTATTGAAAGCGTTTTCTCTTTGGGGGTGATTCTGTATTTTTCTTTCCTTGCATCATGTAATATAATTAATTATATTAATACATTAAGTACTATTAAATTATTCTTGAATTTCTAGGATAAGGGCAACCTGTTTATGAGATTTAAAAAAAAACACATTTCAGGTTGTTTTACTTACATTTGTTCTGAAGAGAATTTTAAAATATAAGTGATACGAAACTATGATTTTCCTGTATTAAATTGATGTAACCTAGTTTGTAAGAACATTATGCTATCCATAGTAAGTAAATTGGGAAGTACTTCCCCTTTGTTACTCTCTGGAGTATCTTGTAAGGATCAGCAGCATATGTTTCCCGGGTATTTAACGGGACTTGCTGGTATTTATCTGCACTTAGGTTTTTAGTATCTATGTGTATGGCTAGGTGAACACAGATTTTTAGTGAACTGAAAATTTTAGTTGTTATATATCTACTCATTTAAAAAAAATGTCGAGTCACTTGGCAAACTATATTTTTCCATTAATATGTGTATATCATGAAAGTTTTCAAATTATAATATAAAACTGTTATTTTTAAAGAAATATTTGTGGTACCTATATTTAAGTTTCAGTTCTTACTTCTAATCATGATTATTTTTTTTTCCTTTTTTTTTTAAGATTTTATTTATTTATTTGCGAGCGAGAGAGAGAGAGAATGAGAGAGGGAGAGCGAGAGAACAGGAGAAGAGAGAGGTCAGCAGGAGAAGAAAACTCCCTGCTGAGCAGGGAGCCCAATGTGGGACTTGATCCCAGGACTCCAGGTTCATGACCTGAGCCCAAGGCAGTCACTCAACCAACTGAGCCACGTAGGCGCCTAATCATGATTATTTTTATACCTCGTCTCTTTTGTCCTTAATTAGTGCCACTAGGATTTGGTTTATAAAAAAATCTTTAAAAAAATAACTTTATTATTGATGATTTAGATTTTTCATTTTATTTATTTTTGGTATCATCTTTATTTTTTTCTCCTTTGATTCACTCTGCTTTGCTCTGTGGTTATTTTTGTTAACTCATAAGCTGTCTGCTTTCATCATTAATTTTAGCCTTCTACACTCACAAAAGATCTGAGGTACCTCAAAAACCACATCATCTGTATTCAACAAACTTAATTACCTATTATAATTCCTGAAATATTTGTTAGGACCTAAAACTCTATTTTCTGAAGCCCTTGTACATGTCATCTGTTGTTTATTATTTTTCTGACTCCCATTCATATTAGCTAGAAATTTTGAACGGCAGATTGTGCTCAATGGTGTTTTATCTGAGAACCTGGTGGGACCAGAGGTGGGGGTGAATTCCTTCAGAAAAAAATGAGCTTTTGTTTCTACCAGATACACCCGGAGGATAAATCTCTAAAAAACAAAACAAAACAAAACAAAAACCCTTTAACCTAATGTTTAAACTTTGGTTTCTCCCAGATCAAGTGTAACATGAATCCAAACTTCCTTTTTCTTTTTTCCCTGGAATATGTTTTTTATATGAAGGGAAGATAGTCAATGAAGAAGAAAAAAATTTTAGAAAACTGAAGATGCGTTTTGTTCAGGATGTCCCAGACACTTAATCTGATGGAAAGAACTCAGCAGTCCTGAGTCAATTCTGACTTCGCTTCTTCTAGAATGCGACCTCGAACTAGTGTATGCCTGATTATTTGTGTTTTAAAGTATGGAGAACATATTACATTGACAGAGTAAAGATTAAACATATACAATATGAATCCACCTAACTGCCTGAAAATACTGCATGTTCAATATATGATGGGATAGCCCTGCCTCCTTCTTCTTCCATTTCTTTCTTGGGTAGGACAGAATGACAGTGCAGCCACTGAAAGGAACTCTCGTCTACTATCTTTCTGGCCATGATCCTAAAAATCATGGCATTTATTCAACAAATATTCATTAACTATTTCCTCCATACTAAGCACTGACAAACAGGGTCACACAGTAGGAAACACTAGAGTGAATCTAATTACCTTTCTCTAGGGTTAGAATTTAATGGACTTAGGTCAGTAAGCATTTTGAGATAATAATGGTCACTATTCTGTATGCTTTGAATATATTATCTTTCTTCATTTCTCCATCAATTGCATGAAGTATTTGCCTGATTCTTCCAGATGATGAAATGAAAGTCCAAATCATACAGAGAGAACACCTCAAAGCTCAATTAAAGCACAGGCCATTTTATTTCAGATCCTGTAGCTTCTACTAAGAATACAAAGTCATTATATGGTGTTATTCTCTTAAGTGCGTTAGGACCCTTTAGGCCTGAAAATCACAAACACATCATCCCAACTATGTTTGAGCACCACGACTCGGGACAAAGGTGGACCTGTGAATTGTTGGGTCAGTCAGGGGTGATATCATGCTGAACACCAGGCTGAACTGTGCAACTGCAGTTCTAGATTGCCATTATCAGGCTGCTCTGTTTTCTAAGAATGCCAAAGTAAATTCATAAATTAGAAAATGACAGCCAAATTGACACTTTTTTTTTTCAAGTTTTGATTTAAGTCCAATTAGTTCATTTCAGGTGAACTGAATGACTCATCATTTATATAGAACACCCAGTACTCATCTCAAGTGCTCTCCTTAATGCTCATCACACCTTTAACCCAGCTCCCTGCTCACCTCTCCTCTAGCAGCCCTCATTTTGTTCTCTATAGTTTAGAGTCTTTTTTCTGGTTTGCCTTTTCCCCTTTCTGTTCATCTAT